AGGATGACGTTGTAGTTGCGGGGTGTTCGGGGCAGGTCCATGATGAAGTCTATGGTGACTTCATCCCACACCTTGGTAGGTGGAGGGATAGGTTGAAGGAGTCCGTAGCGGTTGGTGGTGCGTGCTTTGAGTTGTTGACAGGTTCGGCATGTGCGTATGAAGTCACGCACATCAGCATGCACGCGTGGCCAATGGTAGTTGTTGGAGAGGCGTGCGTAGGTCTTCTCAACACCAAAGTGGCTGCCGGTAACGGTGTCGTGGTATTCGGAGAGTAGCAGATGCCGTAAGGAACGATCGGCAGGGACACAAATGGTCTTGGTGACGGTGTTTTACCAAAATGGGTGGTCAAATGAGTAGGCCGGGTCCTCGGGTGCTTGTTTCACAAAAAACAGGTCACGTTTGTAGGCGCGCTGAAACTTTGTGATGAAGGCATCATCCCATGTGATGCTGCTGGTTCCATGGAGTTGCAAGGGTGGGTTCGGAGTTGGAGGTGGAGGTGATGAGGTGGGGCTGGTTGGGGAGTGTTGGGGCTGGTTGGTGGTTGGTTGGGGCTGGGCGGTGGGTGGTGGGGCTGATGGTGGTGGTCGGGACAAGATGTCGGCTGGATTGAGCTTTCCGGGGCGGTAGATAATCTGAAGGGAAGGGACAAACTGCTCCAAGAACTCAACCCATCGGGCTTGGCGGCGGCTGAGCACGGGTTGCGTTTTCAAGTGTTAAAGTGGGCGATGGTCGGTGTAGACGGTGACGGGCTGCAGCTCCACGTAGCAGCGCCATGTCTTGATTGCATGGACAATGGCAAGGAGCTCCCGATCGTGTGTTGCGTAGTTGCGCTCTACCAGTTGAAGTTTGCGTGACTCGAATGCAAGTGGCTGCATCCCATGGCCGTGGTCTTGGCAAAGAATGGCACCAACAGCGACATCGGAGGCATCAGTACATATGTAGTATGGGCGTGACGGGTCAGCAACAGTAAGGACCGGTGCAGATGTGAGTGCCGATTTGATTGCGGTGAAAGCGGTCTGCTGCGGTAGTCCCCACTGAAAAACAGCTCCTTGACGGAAGAGATCGGTCAAAGGAGCGCATATGTGGGAGAAGTTGAAGATGAATTTCCGGTAATACTTGGCGAGGCCGATGAAACTTTGCAGCTCCGCTACCGTGCGTGGTGCTGGCCAATCAGCAAGGCACTGGACCTTTGCGGGGTCCATAGCAATGCCTTTGGAGCTGATGACGTGGCCAAGAAAGCCGATGCTTGAACGGGCGAAGGTGCACTTGGAGAGCTTGGCGTAGAGGCGGAGTTGGCGAAGCCTGTCGAGGACGATGCGTAGGTGCTGAGCATGTTCTTCAAGGGAATTGCTGAAGATGAGGATGTCATCGAGGAACACGATGACAAAGCGGTCGAGGAAGGGCCGAAAAATATCGTTCATGAGTCCCATGAACGTGGCTGGTGCGTTGGTGAGGCCAAACGGAAGTACTCGGAACTCGAAGTGGCCGTAGCGGGTTCGAAACACCGTTTTGTTGATGTCGTCTTCGGCGAGGCGGATCTGGTGGTAACCGGAGCGTAGGCTGAGCTTGCTGAAAACCGTCACTTCCCCAAGCATGTTGAACAACTCCTCGACACGGGGCAGCGGGTACTTGTTCTTGATCGTGATGGCGTTGAGGGCGCGGTAGTCGATGCAAAGACGCAGGTCACCTTCCTTCTTGCGAGTGAAAAGTACGGGGGCAGCGTATGGTGAGGTGCTGGGGCGGATGAAACCCTTTGCAAGAAGGTCATCAAGTTGAAGTCAAAGCTCCAAAAGTTCAGCGGTGCTCATGCGATAGGTTGGGCGCACGGGCGGTGTAGAACCTGGAATGAGGTGGATGCTATGGTCAATAGTACGCTCGGGTGGAAGTTCGGCGGGTAGATCATCGGGAAACACGTCCGTATAACCGTTGAGCAGATTCTGTATGGGTGGTGGCAGAGAAGTAGTTGATGCTTCAGATTCGGGAGCCGTGAAGATGACGAGGAGATGATGAGGAGGAGGTGGTGAAGGAGGGGTGGGGGCTGGTGGATTGATAACTTCAGAGAAGGGGCGGAAGAGGTGACGACGTGGCTGCTGGGTTGGGTGGGGTGGGGAAGAAGGAGGTGTGTTGATCACTTCGGGGGAGCCGGGTGGTGTTGGCTGCTGCGCGAGGGCTATGAGAGGAGGAGGGAGAGGGGGGATATGGGAGGCTGGAGGTGGGGCAGGTTGGGGTGGATGGGTTGATGAGGCTGAAGTTGTTGGGGATGACCATGGGCGACTGTAGGAGCAGGATGGGAGGTCGTAGTTGCCGATGGTGACAGTTGCGTTACGCCAATAAATTCGCGGTCCAAGCTGGTACAACCACGGTCGTCCGAGCACGCCTTCATAGCCGCCGAGGTGCATTTGCTCGAACGTAACCGTCACCTTGAGACTTCCAAACATGCAGTGCACGGGGAGGAGGGTAGGTCCGCAGCGCCGTCGAGTACCATCCGCCATGATCACGTCTTGCGGGTTGCTGTTGGGATCTTCGGGGAGAGAAAGTTCAGCGGCAATTGAGGGAGAGAGGAAATTAGCGGAGGCGCCGGTGTAAAGCAGAAAATCAACATAGCAATCTTTGATTTTTGCCCATAGGATGATGGCGGGGTATGGAGCGTTTAATATGGTGTAGAGTTCGGAGGTGCCGATGGATAATGGGGTCGGGAGAAGCGGGGCATGCGATGCGCCAGAGGTCTGCCCCACTGCTACTGGCGCATGGGGTTGGGAGAAGCGGGGCATGCGACGTGCCAGAGGTCTGCCCCACTGCTACTGGCGCTGTCCGTTTCCCCGTACTTTGTTTTGGCTGCGACGATTGGGGCAATTACGCTTGATGTGCCCAGTCTTCCCACATTGGTAGCACATGACGTTTGAAAAATTCCGCGGCTGCCTCTCCATCTTTCCCAGCTCCATAAGTGTATGACCGTTTGCATGAGCAGCTGGAGCGTGATTCGTTGGAATGCAGCGAAGTTGATCGTGTCGAAGTGTTCCGCCACACGGATCATATCATCCATCGACATGCATCCGCGAAGCTCCACCTCAGTGTGAATTTTTTGTTTCAGCCCGCGCTTGAACTTATCCATCTGCTCGGAGGTAGGGATGCCGGGAATCTCCAGCACCAACTCCTGGAAGTGGTTGACGTATTCGGCTACAGAGCGGTGCTGGCGTAGTTCAGCGAGATTGTCACGAGCGCGTTCAATCGCGTTGACAGGTTCGAAGTTCATGGTGAGCGATGCAGAAAATTCTTCCCATGTTGAAATTGTAGCGTGGCAGCTCTGCAACCAAGTAGCAGCAGCTCCTCGCAGCATCATGCCAGCGTGACGAGCCCATTCAGCTTGGTTCACGTGGCATAGGGAAAGGTACTCCTCCATTTGGAAGAGCCACCTTCGCACAGGTAGGTCTCGTTTTCCAGGGACAAACGGCTCAGGTTCCGATGCTTTCAGACGTGCAGAGACCACAGCAGGTGTTGGCGCTGACACCTGTGTGCCCAGGAGTCCACGTTCCTGGAGTTCGCCGAGAATCCGGTCACGCACCTCGCGTTCAATTTCTCGGCGCATATTGGCGACAAACTCGTTCCAGAGTTCCGGCGTCATATCCGACGGCCCAGCCATAGGGTCTAGAATATGGCAGGAGCGTGCAGTGACTAACCAGGCTCTTATACCAGTGAAATGTTGCTGGCAGGGAGATAGCAGCCTTAGTAGGCTAGGAAAATGGGGATGATAGGAGTGCTCTCTGGAATTTTCTGGAAATTGCATTATGACTTCACAAATTTCAGAGTACATTTTTGTAGAGCACAATCATACATCGAGTCGCACTCCCAAGTCACAACTCTCTCTGAATTTCTCAATGGTAACCCAACCCTTTGAAATGAACCTGCCGTGAAATTCAGAGAATTATTGCGGTACGGGATTGGACGGCGAGCTTGGTTACGGGGCTGTAATTTCGTCGGTGTTGTTGGCGAAGTCGGCGAGCGGTCGGAACTTCGGTGTTCTGCGTTTCGTAATTTTCGTGCGTGGGATTGACTTGGGCTGCGTGTCGGAATCTGGTCGCCCAGCTGCAGGTTGAGGCGTTTGACCAATCCGAACTGTAGGTGAGGTGGCGCTTGACTTCCGCCCACCTGCACTGTTCTTGGAGCTGAGTTGCTGCATTGTTACGATTGACTTCCGCCCACCTGCATTGCAGTTGGCAGCATTCGGCTGCTGCACAATTTCAATGCTTGCGCTCAAAGGTAGGGTGGCTTCCTGATTGTTGCGGACAAACAGGTATGTATGGGCGAGAAAGTTGTGCGTCTGGTGCTTCAGTGACCTATACTAGCGCGTCTCGGGTCCAACTGACCTACCCCCTCGCACTCCCATAGCGAAAGAACCCAAGCTCGCGAGCTTCATCCAAGTCGTGAAAGAACAAATCTAACGAAGGCTTGAAATGGCGACAGTGTATAGTTATATGGTAACGCCAAGATGGCGTGAATCCGCGTTCGTTGTTGCTATTGGATTGCATACGGTGAGTGTAATGAATAAACTTACAGAGTGCACGGAATAACGAGTATGAAATTACAGAATGACGATATAATGAAAGAGACGGGAGGAAATAGGGCGAATTCTAGCAAGGCGGGGACGTCGGGCGAAGTTGGTTTGGAAGGGTTGCGATTGGTGCGGGGCTGACCCGGGAGTGGTTTGGGGCGACGAAATAGGCCCAACCGGGCTGGCACGTGGCCCTCGAGATGTACTCTCTAGAGTGCGAGTACAAAAAGGAATTGTAATACCTTACAAAAAGATTGAGGTTGAAATTGACAGTATACAAAAGATACAATGCACAGATTTTATCTCATGAATGGCCACACTCGTAGCCTTTCCAAAGACGGTAATATATTCCTTCTGAATTGTGTCTCCACATCATATCAACGCGTCACGATTCAAGCATCTTGGCCCAATCAAACGGCTTCCAGCTCTCTATAATCTTTGCAACTCTCTGCTACACCTCCTGTAGGCGCGACCCCACCTCTCCCCGCCCCCCTCTGGCGCGCGCTCTCCCTCCGAACCGCTCAGGGTCCATCTCCATCATGCCGGCGATCACATCGCGGCCGAACGACGGCTTGAAGGAGCTCTCGTCGTCAATCATATGCCAATACCCGCCCTCCCAGGGAGGGGGAGGGATGGGATGAGCAGCAATGTGGAGCAGGTGGGTTGAAGGGGGCCTGTCAGGGGATGAGGCCACGTGGTCATGGCTGCTGGTTTTGTCTGTTGGTACCCCTAATTCGACCGCCTGCCGATGCCAGTGCCATGTGGCATGTACCATGTGGGCATGTACCATGTACCATGTGCCATGTACCATGTACCATGTGCCATGTACCATGTACCATGTGCCATATACCATGTGCCATATACCATGTACCATGCGGGCATATACCATATACCATGTGTCATGTACCATGTACCATGTGGCATGTACCATCTACCATGTGGCATGTGCCATGTATCATGTGGCATGTACCTTGTGGCATGTCCCATTTGCTACACAAAGAGGGATTTATGTGTTGCTCAGTGCCATGTGCAATGCACCATCTGCCACTTACCACATGTCATGTGCTTGCCGCCATGCCCAATGCCGCATGTGCCAGCGCCGTGCACAAACAATAAATTCAGCAACGCTGATGCAGCACAACATATGCACACACCAAGGCGAGCGGGCAGAGGGGGGGCTGACCTGGAGGCCGAACTCGACGTGGAAGTAGGGGAAGTTGGGCGGGATGGCGCCGCGCAGCCTGCCCCTGATGGCACGCGTGTCGATGATGCGCTTGCTGTGCTGCTCGCACAACTCACTCTCCGCCTCGTCCAACGCCTGCCACACCCAGCACCTGGGGAAACGGAGAGGAGAAGGGGGGAAGAGAGAGGGGGGGGGGGGGGGTAGGGATAAGAAGAGAAGGAAAGACGCATTAGGCAGTGAGAGGGCGTGAGATGTGCGCACATAACACAGTGTGGCGGGTTGCATGTGAGGCACGTGTCAGCTCTTGTGTCACTTCTCACACTATGGCCTTCCACTACATGGCAAACAAATGCGCTGCACTGCAGCAGGCACGTGAGCCCAGCAGCAGAAGGCATATGTGTCCCACCCATCCACCACCGAGGCCATACCCGTCCATTCCAGTCTCGCACCGTGGCTGTGTGCAGTTATTTCCACCTAACGCCATTGAACTTCTTTTCCTTAACTCACTTTCCAGTCTGCAGACTTCCAATCTCTAGCCATCTGCCACTTGAGGTGCATCAGAGTTGCAATAGTGGAGAGGGAGCACATGACAGTGTCAGTGTCGGTGCACGTGCATGCATGCCATGCACCGTGTGCCCACCTTTTTGAAGTAGAGCGGGGCCTGCGCCATGACAGCGGCCGGCACGGGGATCGCCTCCACGCAGCAATGCCTGCGCTGCTGCCCGCGCCCCCCCCCCCCCCCCCCCCACGCCCACAGCTGTCTCTAGGAAGATCACCCTCGCGCCCTCCTCTGAGGCCATGGCCATGTGCGTGAGGCACTTCTTAAAGTTGCGCACCTCCTCCCACACCGCCTCCTCCACCACTCGCATGCTGCCCTCGTGCTGCGAGCACCGGGGGGGAAAGGCAAGGGGCGGAGGGAGTGAGTGAGTGTGGGCCACGAGCATGCATGGCCATTGTAGCAGGGATTTCAAGTGTGAGGGGCGCCTTGTGGGGCTGTGAGTGTGAGAGCCACTACAAGGCGTGGCTCACCTCAGAGGGCACGATGAGCACGTGGTTGGGCAGCAGCGAGCTGCCGGGCGGCAGCATGAGGTAGCTGTGGGCGGCAACAGACAGCACGAGGTGGCGCGGGAGGGCGGGGCTGTTGATGCACTGCTGCACCGCTGCCTGCCGCCTCAACTCTCCCACCTGCCCCGCCTTCTCCCTCTGCTGCTGTGACGCCCTGCTAGGAGTTGTGGGCAGTGGTGGTGAAAGATGGACACAAGGGAGAGCCAAGCTGAGTGAAATGTGAGGGTGGCATGGGGCGAGAAGCATGGGGCGAGAAGCATGGGGCGAGAAGCGTGGGGCGAGAAGCATGGGGCGAGAAGCATGGGGCGAGAAGCATGGGGCGAGAAGCATGGGGCGAGAAGCATGGGGCGAGAAGCATGGGGCGAGAAGCATGGTGCGAGAAGCATGGTGCGAGAAGCATGGGCAAGCACCACACCACGCATACGGTGCACAGCCACCAACCAAACACTTCCATTCGCCCATGCAGGTCAGCTCACCTGCCCTTCTTCCGCCCCCCTCCGCCCCCCCCTGCGTGCAGCCCGTCATCCCAGGCGTACTCAACAACCACCTCCACTGGCCCCTTGTACCGTCGCCCCGCCCGCCCAATGCCCGCCGCCACGCGCCGGTCCCAGCTGCTCAGGTCGTGCGCGCCGCCCGCCCACTCCGCCGCCACCAGCTGCCGCAACGACGCCCCGTCATCGTCCGCAAAGTACCTGCAGGGCGAGTGGGAAGGAAATGGCCGCACAGGGGAGAGACACAAGCGGCGGGGGAAAAGGCAGATGTGACCAAGAGCAATGATTCCAGTTACGCACCAATCCCCTCATATCCTCGCTCCTCTCACTCATCCTATCCTTCCAGTATCTCTCCTCTGCACCAACTACCCGTGTTGGTGTGCCTCCAACCCATAGTCCTTACGTGCGCAGCAGGAAGCCTGTGCTGGGAGGCAATGCAAGGCAGCTGGCACAAAGAAGGTGAGGACCACTGCAACATGAGAGGTCAATACAATAATTAGGCATGCAAGAACTGTGAATAGAGCGAGCACGAGCAGAAAAAAATCACGCATGACGCAAACTTAGGCAACAAAAGAAACGGCATGAGACCAACAGCAGGAATAACATCGACTCAATGATTTCCCACTTACTAACCCCTCTCACCTCACCATAAGCACAATAAGAAGTCATTGAACAACCCTTTACTACCTTGCCTCCTCACCTCGCCCATCCCCTTCACCTCGCCCACCCCCCTCACATCACCCAGTCCCCTTACCTCACCCCAACTCCGCCCTTATCCCGTCCCGCTCACCTCGCCAGCTGCCCCGTGCCCCCCTCCACATCGTATCGCTCCACACGCTTCTCCCGCCGCCCTGCCTGCACCTCGTCCCGCCCCTCCCGTGCCGCCATGACAGCTGGCAGGTAGCGCCCCCTGCCATCCACCAGTGGCAACTGCACCACCTCCTTCCGCCCCTCCCCCTCCCCCTCCCCCTCCCCCGCCTCCCCTTGTACGTCCACCCCGCCCTCCCCAAGGGCCCGGGGCTCCAGTTTGGATGTGGCCGGTGCAGCCAGCAGCGCGGGCGGTGGTGCTGGTGGAGGGGGCTGGGACTTGGCCGCTGCTGCACGCTGTGACATGCACGGATGATGGTGAAAATGAAGCATGGGGTAGTTGAGCAATTGGTCGTTCGGGAACAAGCATCGTCAGTGCATCAGAGAAACTTCTTTGCCAAACATGCATCCACGCACCCTTGCACTGCACCCCACAAGTAGCGCTAGCTCCTGCACCTATTACAGCGCACTCTCTCCGACACATTCCACTGCCACACTCCCTTACCATTCTCCACTCGCCCCATCCCACCTGCGCCCATCCCACCTGCGCCCATCCCACCTGCGCCCATCCCACTTGCGCCCATCCCACCTGTGCCGATCCCACATGCGCCCATCCCACCTGCACCCATCCCACTGGCGCCCATCCCACCTGCGCCCATCCCACTCGCGCCCATCCCACCTGCGCCCATCCCACCTGCGCCCATCTCACCTGCGCCCATCCCACCTGCGCCCCTCCCACCTGCCAGCAGTCAGCTTCCTCGGCCTTGCCCATCAGCTTGAGCCGCATGGCCTTTGCAGCCATCTGATTGGCTGTCCCCTCTGCCCGTATCTCCTGCACGCGTGCATCGTCAGCAAACATAGCAGCTGCACCCGCTCGCCCACCACCGCCCTCCATGCCCTCCCCCCTCCCCCTCCCCATGATATCTCCACCTCCTCTCCCGCACCCCTCTTTCCACCGTCCACCACCGCCCTCCCGCCTCTCACCCTTCTCCCCATCACCTGCGCCTACTCCCTCTGCCCTCCCTCCCGCCCCACCAATGCCTACTGCATTTCGCTCCCTCTCCCCTGCTGCTCCTCTCTTCCCACCATCTGCATCCCTTGCCTCCTCCCCAACCTCCACCCGCTTCTCCGACTCCCCTCCACCCACACCTCGCCCCGCCACGTCAGCACGAGCCAGCTGTAGTGCCAGGAAGCTACCGTCGTCAGCGAAGGCATTGACGCTGCAAGCCGCCTCCTCCAACACGCCATCCACCCACCCGCCCCGCCTGCCCACGCCCATGCCAGGGCTCCACGCCCCCACCCCCTTCCACGCCTGCTTCCCACCCTCGCCCCCTTCGCCCTTGCCTCCTTCCCTCTCCTTTGCTTTGTCGTCCGCTATCCCCCTCGCCCCCCGTGGGCCCCCCCTCTCTTTGCCAGCGCCACGACACCAACTCCTGCTACGGCACCCGCATGCCCGCCCTCGCCCCCGTTGACACGCCCTCCAGGCACCCCCTCCTACCACCCCTCATCCTCCTCCTCCTCCTCCTCCTCCTCGTCCTCCTCCTCCTCACCGCCATCATCCCGCCCACCCCTCCTGCCACGCGCCTCTCCCTCTCTCGCACGCTCCCCCTCATGCTTCCACCCTCCCCTGCCTCCGCTACCCTTGTCCCTCGTGCCTCCCTCCCTGTCTCTGCCTCCCTCATTGCCTCTCCAACTCTTCCCCTCTCCACCTCTCCCCCCACCCCCCTCCTCATCTCCAATCCTCCACCCTTCACCGCCCCTGCTCCTTTTCCCCTCCCTTTCTCCTTCGCCCCTCCCATCCTTCGCCCCTTCCCCCTCGTACCCACCCCAGCGCCCCTCTCGCGGTCACGGGCAGCATGCTTGTGGGCGAAGGTGGGGGCAGCACGGGTGGAGGAGAGGCACGCGGTGAGGGAGGAGAGGGAGCCCCACCAGTCCGACACTACTTGGGGGACGGAAGGGGGAGGGGTGGGGGAGGGGTGGGGGAGGGGTGGGGGAGGGGTGGGGCGGGGATGGGGGAGGGATGGGGGAGGGGTGGGGGAGGGGTGGGGGGGGGATGGGGGAGGGATGGGGGAGGGGTGGGGGAGGGATGGGGGAGGGATGGGGGAGGAGTGTGGGAGGGATGGGGGAGGGATGGGGGAGGGGTGGGGGAGGGTTGGGGGAGGGATGGGGGAGGGGTGGGGGAGGGATGGGGGAGGGGTGGGGGAGGGATGGGGGAGGGGTGGGGGAGGGATGGGAGATACACCGACAATAGAGGCATTGAAGAAAGGCTGGGAAGCATGGAGGCAGCAAGGTGTATGAAAGGTGAGTGGGCACGGACATGTGACAAGCAACGCGCCCAATAGTGCCAATCCACTTGTGCCTGACCCTGCCCCACCCTGCACCCGTATCCTTGGATCCTCTTGCCCCCACAACCAACCCTCACTCCCTTCCTCCCTCCATCCATCCCTCTCCGTCCCTCCCGCCAACCTGCCTCCCTCACTCACTCACCCCCTCTCCCTCGCTGCTCCTCACCTCGCTCAGCAGCTTCCCCTCGCGCTCTGCCTGCTCCTTGGCGTGCCGCAGGGCCTTCAGCCGCCAGCTGGCGCCGCCATCGCCCATGCCGGGCAGCGGTGCTGGGCGGGCAGAGCCTGGCGGTTGGGCGGCAGGGTCGGCAGCAGGATGGGCAGGCGCAGAGTCAAGAAACCCATCACCAGTCTTGAAGTAGGGGTTGAGCTCGCGCGCACTGCTTCCCAACTCCACCTGCACGTGCCGGGCAGGCGGCATGGGGCAAGTAGCATGGGGCAAGGAGCATGGGGCGAGCATGGGGCAAGGAGCACGGGGCATTCAGTGAACAAGGTGGGGGACATGAGTGCTAGAAGGCGCAGACAAGGGAGGGGCATAGTGAGGGGTGGCGGAGCAACACTGCAAGCAATAGGAAGCAAAGGGAGGAAACATGGATGGTAGAGAGTAAGCGCAGAAGCGACAATGACGCTAGGCTGTGAGGCACCCACCAACCCACGTGCAATGCCCCTCCCTTCCCCCTCACCTCTTTCCTGCCGTCCTCCTCCTCCTTTTCCTCCGCACTCGCTTCCCCCAACAGTCGCTCCGGGGCGCGCAACATCCACTCCAACCCCGCTGCCTCGCGCGCCTGCTGCCCGCCCTGCCCCACTCCCTCTGACCGCGCACCCGAGCCTGCACCCGAGCCTGCGCCCCAGGGTGGTGATGGAAGCACGGGAGGGCCAGACAGGAACGGCGTAGATACCTTGAGATCGGACCCCTTCCTACAACCCCCTGGGGTGCAACCACCTTCCCCATGGCAAGGAGGGGTGCACCTCTATGGGCTTCGCCCATGTGGCAATGGTTGGGGTTCCCAAGCCATTAGACAATAGACAGCAAGGATGAAACACTACAAACTCATCACAAACCTGTTTGTGTATTGGTTGCAATTTCAAAGAAGGGTTGCGTTAGATTTGGTTTGGAAGTTTCTGATGTGCTGTGATTAGAATTCGCGGCGGAAGTTCCTGTAAAAGTGTTATAATGTGTAGGCTGTAGTGGGGTAGCCAATATGGGGTACAACCCTTTTAGGGTTTCTATTAGTACCAAACTCTCTCATAGTTCATCCATTCCTGCTTGTAGTCCTGACATGGTATCAGAGGACACTCACCCCCGACGGACGGAGGACAGACAGGCTCAGACTCAGCAACAAGAGCAGTGGCGTAGTCGAGACGACAAGCAGCAGCAAAGTCAACCAGCTCAGCAACTAAGGCAGACGCAGCAGAAGGCCCGCAAGAGGTTGGAGGAGAACTCACCACCTCTGTCAGAGTGCAGACGCAGGACAGGAAGGTCCGTGTGGAACCGCTCGCGGAGCTGGAGACGGACAGCGCGGATCCAAGGGATCAAGACAGCAGGGACCTCACCCTTGGTGCGCAAGGGGAAGACCATGGTGTAACGCGTGTAGTCGTCAACAACCAGCAGAAAGTATCGCTCGTCGCCCAGTCCCCGGACGCGGGCGGGGCCCCACACGTCCATGTGGAGAGTCTGCAGGGGAGCCTCTGTCGGGGGAAACGAGGAGGAGTGAGGGGTGGCGCGCTGCCGCCCCTCGACGCAAGGAATGCAGGGCGGGGCACGGGAGCGTGGGAGGTGCTGGAGCTGGCGTTTCTGGAGCTGCTGTAGACCCTGGAGGTGCTGGTGCTAGAGGAGCTGGTCCTGGCGGTACTGCACCGCCGCGTTTGTTCTTCGCTCCACCGTCACGGTCGTCTCTGCCGCCGCCTGACTTGGTGCTTTGCCAGGTTCTTAGTCTCCCGTCTTCTACTAGTTCCCCCGTTACAGCTTGGCTCTCCACTACCTGCTCCCTCTCCTTACACTGAGCAGACAGGAGGAACTACCGAGCGTCGTGAGCCTGCGTCTTATTCTGCCTCGCCTGTTCGCGCTGGTCGCACTGGTCGTCGTGTTCCTCGTGAGCGTCCTCCTCCTATCCCCGGCAAGCACACTATGTCCCTTCGTCCTTCCTCTGTTCCTCTGCGCGTTCCCCTGCCGTCTCCTCCTGCGTCTTCTCTGCCTGACGTTCCGGACCCTGAGTCTGACCTGGTTCGTGCTGCTCACCCTACTGTCACGCGTCTGTTAGCCACTGTTGTCACTAACCCGTCGTTTGAGTCTGTTGCTGCGTCTGCCTTAGTTGCTGAGCTGGTTGACTTTGCTGCTGCCTGTCGTCTAGACTACGCCACTGCTCTTGTTGCTGAGTCTGAGTCTGTCTGTCCTCCATCCGTCGGGGGTGAGTGTGCTCTTGGCACGGACGTCCTTAAGGACAGGCAGGAGGACTTTGAGTGTCTTGCAGCTGCTGCATCTCATCTCGTGGCCATGCTGCTTGCCCCTGAGGAAGACCCGGATGCACCAGACATCCCGACCCCGCACTCTTACGCTGAGGCGATCGCGGGTGAGTACTCCTCTCAGTGGCAGACAGCCATGGACACAGAGATGGCATCCTGGAAGTCCACAGGCACCTACGTCAACTCAGTTCCCCCTCCTGGGGCGAACGTAGTCGATGGCATGTGGATTTTCAAGGTGAAGCGGCCGCCGGGTTCTCCGCATGTCTTCAAGGCTCGTTACGTTGTACGAGGCTTCAGTCAGCGACAGGGAGTTGACTTCTTCCAGACCTTCTCCCCTACCCCGAAGATGACCACTCTTCGGGTGCTGCTGCACATTGAAGCTCAGCGTGACTACGAGCTTCACTCTCTTGACTTCAACACAGCCTTCTTACAGGGCAGCCTGCATGAGGAGATCTGGCTGCGCCGCCCACCTGGCTTCACTGGGTCGTTCCTTCCTGGTACCCAGTGGAGCCTCCGCTGGCCAGTCTACGGTCTCCATCAGGCGCCTCGTGAGTGGCACGACACATTGAGGACGACACTTGCGGCTCTTGGGTTTGCCCCTTCCACTGCTGACCCGTCGCTGTTTCTTCGCACCGACACTTCACTGCCGCCGTTCTACATCCTCAATTACGTTGACGAACTAGTCTTTGCTACTGCTGACACTGAGGCACTCGCCCTTGTGAAGTTGGAGCTGCAGAAAAGACACACGTGCACAGACCTGGGTGAGCTGCGCAGCTACCTTGGCTTGCAGATCACCCGGGATAGAGCACGCCGCACCATCACACTGACTCAATCACACATGGTGCAGCAGGTCCTTCAGCGCTTCGGCTTCACTTGGTCCTTGCCACAGTCCACTCCTCTTGGCTCTCAGCTCCACCTTCGGACGAGTCCGTAGAGCCGAGTGGCCCATATCCAGAGCTAGTGGGCTGCCTCATGTACCTGATGATCTGCACTCGTCCGGACCTTGCGTACCCTCTAGGCCTTCTAGCATGCTACGTGGCTCCTGGCAGACACCGAAAGGTGCACTGGGAAGATGCGAAGAGGGTGCTGCGCTACTTGTGTAGTACATCAGGCATGGGGCTCGTGCTTGGAGGGCAGGGTTCAGATGTCCTCACTGGGGAGAGAAGCCTCCTTCTCCTCCAGTTCTATACGTAGACTATAAGGCTGCTATTGCCTTGTGTCAGGAGCACAGACTGGAGCACATAACGAAGCACATTGCTCTGCGTTACTTCCTTGCTCGAGAGTTGCAGCAGCGTGGTCAGCTTCGTGTCGCTCACATGCCCACTAGGGCCAACACAGCTGATTTGTTCACCAAGGCACTTCCGGCCGGTGACCATCAGCGCTTCTGCACTGCTCTAGGCCTGGTGCCTACGTTTCCTCACTTGCTTCCTTCTTGACTTTGCTTGTACTATGAAATATATATAAACCTGCATGC